CCTCAGTTGAAGCTATAATAACAATAATAATAATACAGATTTGGCCTGGAGAGTTTCTGAAGAGTCAAAAGTGTCTCTTTACAACGTCTTTTTGCAGCGGTGAGCAATGTAGCCAATCAAACATATCTGTTGATTTCTTGAACGCAATGGCCAATCAGAAGCGTTTATGTTAGAATTCACTCAACGCTCGCAAAGCTGGAGTTTTGTCCACTGCTGAATTCTGCACACTCGCGAATCCCCTCATTATTTCAAAGTGTAGATGCAATGTAAAAAGAGAGATTCATTGACAGAACTTTCTGAGATCGTGATGAAGTAAGATGAGTGAGTGATTATTAAAGGGGCGCTCTTTGCTCGATAGCAATGACTGGCACAAAATATATGTGAAAATACAAAAACAACTAGAGAGATTTGTGTGTTTGTGTGTGTGTGTGAGACGGTGTATCCGCACGATATGGGGTCGCCAATAGCCACTGAGCAATAATAATATACATAGATCTATCGTATGTGATGTGGTTGTAATATGGAAGAGCCTATACACTGGTCAAAATCGGGCTGACTTTAATTTTTTAAGCATGTTTAAAATTCATTGGGAGCTCAGGAGGTGCTCGGCTCGGCTCTGCTCGGCTAATAAATTCCTCTCACAAGATGCGAGGCACGACCATACGAGCATCAACGACTTCCACGCGATTTTTTCCATCTGGACAAATATGAGCCCGTACGATAGCAAAAATCACACCGTCACACCCATTTCAGGAATTGGAGTCATGGAAAACATACAGTGTTGGGGGAGCTGCAGGAATGTGGTTGGGAACCCCTGTTCTAGCTGGTTGGTTGCTAAAATGGTCCTGAACATGTTGATACAACGTGTCTAGTGTGTTTTCTGGTTGCTAGAGTGTTACTAGGTGGCTGCAAAGGTGTTTTGATTGGTTTTAGCACGTTGCTAGGTGGTTCCTAAGATATTCTGAGTAATGTTGTGTGTGTTGCTACAATTCTGCTAGTGTTCTGAGTGGTTGCTAAAGTGTTGCGTGTAGTTTTAATTGTATTGCTATATGGTTGCTAAGGTGTTCTGATTGGGTGGTTGCCAGGGCAATGCTCTACAATTGTTAAGGTGTTCTGAGTGTTGCAGAACACCTTAACAACTTGATCTAGTGGGTTGCTAAAATGGAGCTGAGCATGTTGCTACATAGTTGCTAGTTTGTTATTAATGGTTGCTAGAGTGTTACTAGGTGGCTGAAAAGGAGTTTTGAGTGGTTTTAGCACATTGTTATGCGGTTTTTCTAGGGTGTGCTAGGTGATTGCTACGATATGCTGAGTGATGTTGTGCATGTTGCTACAAGGTTGCTATTGTTCTAGATGGTTGTTACCACTTTGTTTGAAGATTGCTTTTGTGTGGTTTTTAGTGTGTTGCTATA